ATTTACGAAATAGTAAAATAACAAACAGAGAAAGTGGTTTTGTTTGAAAGTAAGTTTATTCATAGAAGTTTGGAACAGAAAAAAAGTGCTAGCGATGGCAATAGCTTAAAAGAGGAGCGGAATCTGACATCTGAAATAAACGAAATATTGCTTTTGAATAAAATTGAACCAATCATATCACTTCATTTCCTATCATTTTCGAAGAGTATTTTCAGTGGATGGTCAGATAAAAATTATCGGTGCATGAATGTTCACAATTTGTTTGTTTTATATTTATTTCTCGAAATTTCGAATTTTAAATGCAAATGGATTGTCATAAGAAATTTTTTTTTAAAAATTTCAAGAAAGAATGAAAAAAGCATTTAAATATTTGGATTGAAAACTTATCAAATACCTAAAAAGGTAAAAGTTTTATAGTAGTAAAGGTAAAAGAAATGAAAAAGTGATAATTAAACAATAAATATCAATTGGATAAACGATCTGAAATGAAAATTGTGATAATGATGACTTTGAATAATAACTTTATGATTTTAGAAACAAATAGAATAGAAAGACAACAATAGAAAATATTCATTGTTCACTTTTAGTTTTCCAATTTCAGGTTTTAACACAAAAGAAAAAACCAACTAAGAGAAATGAAAAAAATTCGAATTTTTCAAATCTTTTCCATAAATAGCTAAAACTATCCTTCATTCTACGAAAATTTTCACCATTCGCTTACGATTTATATTTCACGAAATGAGAAATTTCTTTTTGTTTAATTCTAGCAATGATAATAATCTCTTATAGGAATAGTTGAAAATTGCGTTTAATTTTTGAAATTATCACAATAAAATGACATTTCGATTTAATTGATTTAAAATAGTTATTAATGTTAATTGAAAATGAACAATTTATGCCTGACTGAAATGAGTGAGTAAGCGTTGCAGGAGAGTTGCTGGAATGATATGACTGAAAATGAACTGATCAGAAGGGAATCGTCATCCTTTCTTCATCTGTTTACTTCCAGCTTTTGGTATTGGAGGAAGCTTTCTCTATGTGTAATGGAGATTAGCATCATCTTTTATGCACTTAATAACTGGGAAGCAGAGGTACTACCAAGGGAGTCTAATCACTCATCGATGCATCACTCACAACAACTGCTCAATTTGTACATTCCTGCTTCCTTATCCTATTCAAACATTATCTCACAAAATTTACAAACTTCATTTCAATATGTTAATTTGATGAGATGAAATTTCGTTTTCCAGAAGTTCATAGTAGCTATAAAGGACGAACCTCTGAAATGAATGACAGATAATGCACATCATTAATAATAACAATAATAATCTTTTTTTCAGATTTGTTTACGAAATTGTGAACATGAAAAAGAGCCAGAAAATTGATAAATTTGAAATTGCGTAAGGAAATATACGCTTGAAATATAAATTGTTATCTTCACTGAATATTTGTATAGATTCAGCTTTTTTTTTGTTCACTTTAATTATTTTCTGCACTTGAATACTTGAATAGAAAAGATTTAATTATTTTTATTTGTTCCACTCTAATAGTTTTTTTTTTTTTGTTATTTTACTTTTCTTTGCTCCTACGATGAAAAAGAAGGAAGTATTTGTGTGAGTTCGTTGTATGCAAAATTTAAGCCCACAAATTATGTAATGGTCAGTAAAAGGTCATCATAATGTAAATGGGAGCGGGACGATGATTTATCAGAAAGAGAAGGAGGAGTGCTGGTGTTGAAATTTTAACTATAGAAAGTGAAAGGAAAAAGAAGGTAGAAGAAAGCATTGCTAAAAATGAAACTAATGGGTTCATCCATGTCAAGCCTAGCCTTGGAGGTTGTTTTCTTGGCTGCAAGATCTATGTGTGCTGCCTTAAAAGTAGCTCAGCTCTTCCCAAATCATCACTTTGAAATGTAGTGAAACGATTCAAGATCCATCTTTCTGCTAATGCGAACATTATAGCTATCGGACTGGAAAGTATGCTTCGAGTCAATACACCTCCAATGTTCATACAATTTTACATTTTTTCGATCAAAAGTTAATGAAAGTTAATTTATGTCTTGCTGCAAATTTGATCAAAGAAAATTGCTTCGCTGAATTTACACTGAAAGAAAGGAAAATGATATGGTATGGAAGAACATATCAAAGGAAATTACCGAATTTTCAGACTTTACTAATTTGTGAGAATGGGATTAATTCATCCTATCATTAAGCCTATGAGAGGTTGTCGTAAATTGGGAATTAAATGCGCCGTGTAATAATGAATGATGTTAGATTGTAGTTAATGGATGATGGATTATTTTCACTTTCTCGAGACAGGTGTGCTCGTTTGCCCGAAGGGAGAGCAAATGAAATTTTAGTTGTGAAAGAAATATTTCTGTAAAATTGAACAATAAAGTTTCAAAAAAATTATTAAAATTATGAAAATAAAATTTCGTTAATTGTTTGAATGAAAATTTTTGTATTTTCATGTTTTGTTGCAAAATTCATTGAATTTAATTTAAAATTTAACCGAAAAAGTGAATTTTAGCCGTATTTTTCAGATGGCTATCCATGGAAAATAACTGAATATACTATATTTTAGCCTGCCTTCTCAGATTCAAAGCTAACTTATCGTTAATTGAATTTTTGGAGAAGGCTGTACGATGAAGCAACGAATGACTCAGAAATGAGGTCAAAGGTCATACATCTAACTCCCTCTTCCTAGCATTCAGAGCAGACTTTCGATAAGGTTCTGACTCAAAATGCGATTGAATATTACATAGAATTGTATTCGTGCTCTTTTAATGTGGGCTTAATTTTGTTAGCTGGATGAGTCATCCGTTGAGATGAATTACCAGAATGTCATCACTGTTGACTGATTGACCGGTAAATGGATCGTCTTTATCCATTCCATTTTAAAGGTCTGTATTCACTTCTATTTTGCTTTAAATGATTTTTTTTAAAATAAATGCTTTAAATACTTTAAATAATATAAAATGTTAAATGATATTCATGCAAATTAAGTGAGATTCAGAAATTTTTGTCACTGAAGAATTGGAAGACAACAGGGGATGGCTATTTAAACACAAAGATAAATTTATTCTTTTTTTTCTTTGACCTACTTTGAATTACTGCTGTGAAGCATTTCCCTTTTACCTCGGGAAGGAAAAATTTTGCGGCAATAATTCAAATTTTTATGGAAAGAAAAATATCGAGGAGAAGGTGAAAAGTTCCCGCTATGGACGATCGGTAGAACAATAGCGTTATTTTTGTTTCTGTCACTAATTCTGTTGTGTTTAAGGATCAAGAGGATATGTATAAGTCGGTTTGTTTGACACCTTTCTGGCCGACTATACGGAAATTATGTCTCCACTAAATTGAAAGTGGACAGAAATACCGTTGAGAGAGAAATTGAGATTTGAGAAGACAGAAATTCGACATGACGAAAATGATAAGAACGGATATAATGATCTTCAGCGGAAGTATCAAATAAATGCAAATAACTGTTGATCACTGAATATCTACTGGTCTTCCAATAAGTATGGATTTCATTTATTGAATGAAAAATGTAGCTGCTTTTGAAAAAGTTTTTCGTAAAAGTTTTTAAATTAAATTTTTCTTCAACTTTATTTTTCATAATCCATTTCAATAGCTCGTCTATAGTAAGTCAGGCTATGAGTTAGTATAACGGATTAAATGCTGAGTGGAAATTTGAGATCATAAACTGCGTTATAGTGGATAGTATTGAAAATTCTTTCAGGACGATAAAAGTTTACGAAAGGTATGCGATAGAATAAGAAAAGAAATCTGGAAAGATGCCTACCACATTCATTGCAACAACGAGAGCAAACTAACAAAATGCTCAAAGATTCGGTTCGGCGTGCAGAAACTAATACATGTGCATTTTCATTTCCTTTTGTTCTTTTCTGAATTTTGTGAGAGAGAGAGCATCAGTAGCAAACTTTATCATATTGTCTTACAACAACTGAACACAAGAATAAGTAAACATCATGTCAATTCATCACTAATATGATTTTTTTCGCGTATCGTGAATTTTAGAGGATCCCGAGCCGACAATTCTGAAGCGACAGAAGAATATGAGTAGATATTCCAAATTAGCTGTGATGTAATGCCATCTTTGCCTTTGCTGCAACTGAAAATGAAGATAGAAGAAATTCAATAACTGTATACTGTAGATTGTTGTAATTAGTGTCAAAAAAGATGCTTTGATGCATTTTCTAATATTTTAATATTTTTAAATTGGGCACACAAGTTTTTTTTTCGACTTTATTTTATGGTATTTTATTTTATGGTGTATCGAAGCAATTTTTTGACAGTTCTGGTGATTTTAGTTCAGTTAATCAAAGAGCGCTACTAGGATAGATCTGATTTTGATATTTTGCATTTTGCATTTCTGTACTGTTTTTATCTTTTATATCTTTGATTTTTTTCTCTTTTGTAAATATTCATTAAGAGATGTTTTATCGATATCTTAAACAGAAGTGTTATTTATGCTAGTTTTATGGTACAGTCTTTTAGTGATTGTAAGTTTCATTTCCACTTTTTGATTTTTGTTACATTATCCTGTGATTTGCTGCAATAAATATGTAAATGTTGTTTTTTTGCCTTAGTCTTGTTGTGGACAAAAAAGAATTACATTTAATATAATAATAATTAGGGAAAACAAACCGCTTTAAATAATTGGAAATAAAGATTTCGTTGCAGACTCGCCTACAGTTTTACCCTGCATATTACAAAAAAATGTGATTTTTTCAAGCATATAATAATAGCTTTGATAATATGTTACATCTTTTGGATCTTTGATCCTTTCAGTGTGGGTTTTTTGCGCAGTAAAAATCTGGAAATTGATCTCTGGGTGTTTATAAAAAGATCGCTTGCCATTCTGTGTTTGTTTGGAATAGAAGATTCAGCGCATTGAATGTTGTGTTGTGCAGAATCTCCATAAAATTTCATGTGAAGTTATCGTTATATTTCTCTTTCAGATTTGGAAGTGGTATAATGGACGACGGCAAAATAATATTAATTGGTAATGAAGGAGATATTTTGCACTGTGGATATAGTCATACTCTAAGCGATGGCGGTAAAAGGTGAAGATTGCAAATATCATTTAGTTACAACGATTTCTTTTCTGGTTTTCCAACGAAAAAAATTGATATATCATATTGGTTCTCATTTATAGATATCCATCAGCTGATCATTATGCGCATGCAATGATCCTCACACAACTCGGCTTAGATGAAGCACTTATTCTAGAGTTATTGTGCACTTCGAGTGCCGATGTTCCAGTTAAGGTATGCTTTTATCTTTTATTCTTTTATTCGAATTTTCATTTTGTAATTTTCATCATCATACTTTTTGAAGGCTCGTCAATTGTTGCAAGAAAATATGCCAACAGGACATGACATGAATTCTTTGGCGAGTTATCTGCAAACAAGTCGTCAATCATATACAATGCAAGGGTTGAGAATACGAGTAGAGCAAGATGCAGGTAAATAGCAAAACAGAAATTTAAAAGAATGAAATGATCCTTCATTTCAAGAATTGCTTAACTTATTATACAGGAATAATGATGATATGTATTTGCGGCATATAATCTTACTTTGAAGCGTTTGAAAAAGCTTTAATGGATACAAAAGATGCGTTGTTGATTGTTTGTGATGCACGTGACAGTGAGCTTGGAATTGGTATGGATGAAGATACCTTTGTGGATTGGATGGCAAAAGAAAAAGTTGATGCTGCAATGTTGGGACATTGGATGCGAAATGAAAGGGGTCGACCACCACAATTAGGACATAATCAGTTGGGATATTTTCTTATGTGGCTGAGGTAAATTGTGCTGTTTCATTCTTATTAAACCAGTTTTTTTTCTGCATGCAGGAAACAACCTTAAGGCTATGTTTTGCTGAACTGTAACAATGTTCATAACTATGGAACAACTGTTGTCTTCTCTATTCTACAAACACTTCTGTATAATATGGCATAATTTTTTAGGTATGAGGTTTCTGAAAAAAGACGGGCTGCTTTACTTAGCACCCAGTCTATTGAAGTGGATGGTATTTCAACTGACCAAAATGGTGACACAATAAAAACAACCACGTCTGATCTGGTCCTTTCGCTTCAAGTAAATTCTTTATCATTTTTTATTACCATTTATGATATTTATTGGAAATAAACCAAAAGTCTTTTATTTTTTTTTTCAGGGCATTTTCCGACCTCTGAGTAATTATTATGCATTATCTTTTGATATGAAAGGGGAAAAGTACAGATCAGTGGAACACTATGCTTATCAAAGGCTTTTTGACGCTCTCCGCCTTGACGACAAATGCATTGGTAAGTCGAGAACTGTTTCGAGATGCTGTTTTAAATAATCATTGTTTCATCAGATGCAGTTTAAATCCTGGTTTGATAGAAATTTCACTCCTCATCGTATAAAAGTTAATATTTTTCTTAATTGCAGAAAAAATTCGAACCACCGTAGATCCATCAGATGTTGCGCTTGTTGCCAGAAGAGTTTTCAAACAACAAAAGGTATTTTTATTATGTTATGCTAAAGTACATTAGAAACTATTGGGACGTTTTTCTTTTGTTTGGTTTAGCTTTGTTCATTGTACATAATAAATGAAACAGCAAAGAGTTGGATGAGTGAATCTTTTTCGAGTATAGCATTGTTGGCTGCGTAGTTTATCAATGAGGTAATCCATGCTGCACAATGGAATAACCTTGACATTACTGGCAATTTTCATCTTTGATATTTACACTAATTGAAACACCAAGTTGGATATTTGTTTTATCGTAACATTTTATAGCTCAGTGATGGAGCGGTGGATTCAAAGATGGGTCGTCTAGATAGATGGCGTCAATCTGCTATGAAACATAAGGTTTCTTCATTTCTTTAAAATCTTTAAAACGAGGTGCAATTGTATCCGTTTAGTTTAAGTAATTTTTTTTTCACAGATGACAAAGAATGAGGCTCTGCAGCAGTTACTGCTTTCTACTGGACATGCATTGTTGATTGATACTACAGAAAGTGACAAAGCATGGGCATCTACAGCAGATGAATTCGAGCTGCAGCATTTGTTGACGAAACGATACATTCTTCCAGGTACAATCATCGATTGGATGACCGAACGAACAAAACCTCCATCAGCTCTTTCCCATATCAGAGTTTGTTTTATCGTCAGGAATATCATACATTATTTCTTATTTTATTATATTAATAAGTGGATGACGTTAACTTTGACTTATGAAGAAGTGCTGTTGATGATACATTAATAAATATAGACTGTCCACTTGTTCTCGCTTGACTGTTGCTATAACTATTCCTAATTTTATCTTATCCATTTATGTTTAAAACTGTTGATGACAATGAGGAGGAAATTTACTTGTTCTAATTTCAGGGAAATAAGACAGGACTTTTGCTGATGGAGTTGCGTTCAAAATTTGCTGCGTTATCGCCAACACAGAATCGTATTCCACTGGTGTCACCACTTGTAACAGCGATGGAGTTACGAACTCTACTGTCAGCCCACATGATTTGTTTTACTGCGGAAAGTGTTTTTCATTTTTTGTATCCAGCACAAATTCGTTTGCCGAATGCAGCAGAAACGTTACCTTCACCAGCTCATTACATAGCTAAGCAAGCCATAAGGTGCGGAGGCATTATAGTTTTTTTTTTTTTTCATCAGTCTTCTAATCTTGATCAAAATTCTCCATTCATTTCATTACATGTCTCGAAAAAAACTTTGGTGAGAGATCTTTAAAAGGAATTTCAAAAATCCTTTCGGTAAGTGTATAAATCGTGTTAGATGCGTAAGGTGGAAAAGAGAGATTATTAATTCGATTATACTTGAATAGCCTAAGCATTACTTTTTTTCAGGTATTTCAACATTTGTGCAGAAGATGCTGCTTATATAAATGAAAGTATACACAGCACAGAGTGTTGGTATAGGATGAATACTATAGTTGAATCAAGTAATCCAACGCTTGACAAAGTTCAGGTGGAAGCAATATTTTAAAATTTGCAATTGTTAATATTTCTAGTCGAAATTACCATATTTTATTGGTTTACAGAAATTAGTATTCATAGTGCACTGCAGTCATACTGTACGGGCTATTATTATTGTCATCCACTTCTTGTTTTTGAAGCTTTTTGTATGTCATGTAGAAGCTTGGTTATCAACAGTGTAGATCTGAATAGGTCTAACAACTTCTTTTTTTAAAAAAGTTTAAATGAAATTAATTTGCAGGGTTGGTACATGGATGAGCGTCAGAGAGCAATAAAAGTTGCATTAACGATGATGTTTGAACAGCATCCCCCTCTCATGAGGGCATTGTTAGATACAGGAGATGCTTTGCTAGTTTATTGCTCAAGGTATTCATCACTCGAAGCTGAACTCACTGTTGGTATGAGAGAGCGTGATTTACGCGCGTGGCTAGCACAAATTGATATCGATACCAGACAGGTTATTTTACAAGTTACATCAAAAGTATACATTGTTTAGGTTTTAAACGATATGAGGAAAGATGTATTAAAATATAAACATCTGATTTATAAATTAATGGCGACGAATAAGATATAATTGAAGTAATATCAAAAATTTGTTGATTAAAATTCGTAGGCTATCAAATTTTAAATTGCTTGTATGCTACGATTGGGATCGTTACATCTTTCTTTTTAATTGGTCGCTACATATTTAGTGTTTTCAATGAGAAAATACAGGCTGTTAAATTTCTAGAATGTAACTTTCTCTTAGTGCACTTATGTTACAGCTTTTTGATTCAACAGTCCGTCCTTTGGCATTTCGACCACCATATCTTGGTGGAAATCGATTAGGATTAATCTTGATGGAAATAAGACGAGAATTTATGTTGCGAGGAGTTTTTCCACAACAACTTCCCGAACTACAGATTGGCGTTGAAGCGGTTCGTTTTTACAGCATACAGATTTCATGCAGTCATACTATGCCGGTAATTCTGATTCCATTCAGGTTCTTGGTTCTGAATCACCAGCTGAAAATTATGTATCAATTTATCCGTTTGATGTATTAAACTCCGATAATTTTACGGCGCTTTGGACAAGTGAGCATTGTTTTCTATATAATTTGCTGATACATTTTATAATTAATCTTAACTAAATTTCTTCAAGTAGAGAGTCAGCACAAAAAAAAGTCATAATTTCTTTATTTTTGACAATTAAATCAACATCGATGATGTTAATTACCACCCCTTGAATTACAGGTGATAGTTCCTGAAACTCTGATGTTTGTTGTAGGACTAACAAGGTTTTCTATCTATTGTAAGGGACTGATTGATCGGTATAGTAATAGTTGGAAATATCATTACAGATCCATTTTTATTGCTCGCAAAACAGAACAAGGACGGCGAACTTTGGACACAAGCAAATTCGGTCAAGTTGGCGCCAAAACTGATATCAATCAATGAAGCGACACTTTCTGCTATAGTTGATGGTACACATTTTCAGTTTTATCGGTCGCAGTGGGTGATGTACGTGAGAAACCTAAAATAATATCATTTTATGATAAAGGATGGCGGAGCAAAGTGCTGCTTTTTACTGTATTATTTTCAAGAAATTCCCATGTCTTTTTAAAATTTTTTTTATGACATTTCCTAATTTAATTTCACTTTGTAGAGTTGGATGTTATGGAAAAAGTTACTGAAGACGATCTTGAAAACTACTCCGTTGAAGACTTACGTGCTGTTTTTGTTCGCCTAGCACTTAGGATGCGAAACCGTCTAGTGGAAACTGAGGCGCAACAAAATGAAATGAATCTTCTAGCAAGGGAAATTACCGCAATGCAAAATATGAGAAGGTAAACGATTTGTTTTGATGGGAATAAAAATGAAAACTTCCCTTCTATATACTAGTAAGTTGTTGCTGGGACCGTGCTCGAATGTAGTTAGAATTTTTTCATAAATTTCAGAGCGCTGGAAGAAAGGAAAGTACAGTTAGAAGGAGGTCCTATGCAGGAACGAAGAGAAAAACGAGAACTTCCACCGCCGCTGGTTCGGACAGAGCTACCGCCACTTCTAATGCGTGGCTATTCCCCGCCTCGTAAATGGGATGAAAAACGTAAGCCAATACAACGACGATACTCACCTCCTGAGGAAAAGCTCCCACGACGTCGTAGCCCTGCACGGTTAAAATCGCCTCCTTCGCATATAGTTCGGAAATCATCGCCCTCTTCTAAATTACCATTAAAACAACAGAAAGTGATGAAACCTCCCGTAGATGAAAGTGAATTGTCCGACGGAGAAATCTTGAGCGACTAATTTCATTCTTTTATATAATGGGCAAGTATTAGTATCTTGCACTGACCTAATAGGTATTAATGTCGTTATATCCATTTCCACTCTTCAAATTTATCATTGCATTGCTAGAATTGAGATGGATACGAGGCTTACAGCAATACAATGTGAAAAATATTACAACTTGGATGATGAGGCCCACATTACACAACATAGCGAAATATTGTTACTTACATGATATGTTGGGAAATATCTAATTATTTGGCTCTCTGTTCCACGATAACTCAGGATTGAATTAGATTTTTTGCGGGAGTCAAAGTTTAATCATACCCTCCATGATTTTGCGATCTCCTATGAACATTTAATGTTGTGTATATATTGTTATTGTTAACAATTCCTTTATAAATTTTATAAAAGAATCGAACTGCAAAACATTTAAATTAAGAACTTGAAATTTCAAAGCATTCAAAAGATGCCTGTTATCCCAAAATCTTCCTAGCAGAAGTTAAAAAATTCAAAAATTACATGAAGCATTGGAGCTTTTCTTTTGTTAGGAAATTTCACAACTTTACAATTACCACTCAAGCTTTATTGACGACAAAGTTTTATTACCGCATTAAATATATGGAAAAAGCATGCTAATTAGATCCTTAAACTTGAAAAATCAAATGCCTTTATTTCTCCACCCAGTAAGATCGACATCAGATTCATCATCATCATCGCTCATTTGTTCTACCACTATTGGTTCGGTATGTCTTCCATTTTTCTCAACTACCGTGCTGTACAATTTATCTCGCCGCAGTTCTAACCGATTTACTCGCTTCCACTGGTCAATCTGCAAGTAAATTCAACATATTTGACTAACTGTAACTAAAATTGTAAGTATTCCAAGGTGTTACAACAGAAGCATGATTTTGGAACCGTAGGTCGAGACAGTAATGTACCTGCTCATCAATAAGTTCGATATCGTGTTCAATAGCCACTACATATTCTTCATTTTCTTCACGGTGCTCTTCCTCCTGCTTTGCTTCATCCAACTCTCTCATGAAATCTATGTATTGTTGTTCTATATTAGCCTGCTTTTCTATAGTGTCAATAACCTGAAATATGTCCGCAACTTAGTCATAGCTCCACAATTTGGCAAATGATGTCTTATAATACAATCGAAGCACCAAAGTGCTTAAATTAAGTAATTCCTTTCAAAATTAGAGATTAGAGCTTAAGAAAAATTTTTTTTAAATTTCTAACTTCTGATTCAGTACATGAAAGTATTATAAATTCTAGATGAATTAGGTTTTGCTCAGCAACGGTGCAGTTTTCAGTATGTGTATTCGTTCCTTAGCTTTATTTTTCAAAAAGAAATAGAGGTTTATTTAATTTTAACTTACTCTGCTATTCAGTTTCTCGTCTTCGAAGAAACCTTCAGGCACTCCTTTGATGATATTTTTCTTTTGACCGTATGTTGTCTTACTTTCTATCACTTTTGACATAGAATCTTTCTCCCAAGGAGTACTTTCGTTCAGATCTTTTGAAGTTGACTCCTTTACATCCACTGCAAAAAAAAGTGCTACAATTGAAAAGTTCTTAGTAAAAGTAAACCAAGCAGAAAAACATGCTAACCTTTTAGCTTTTTCAAGGATGCTGTCGAGAGAGATGCGGTTGGCTCTTCAGGGTTCCGTTTTGATGAAGTAGCATTACCTGTTGCTGCTTTCTTGAAATTGGCAATATTTTCACGATGTTTCCGACCATTTGAGTGAGCTATCCATAATTTACTCTTCACCTTCAAATTCTGAACAACTTACTGGATCGTTTTCTGATCATACATTAAAAATTACATATCTCTCATTATTGCCGCTCGAGGAGATGTTTACAGAAGGACTACTAACAGTAGCTGATAAAGCAAGAAGAAAGGACCAACCTGTGTGTTACAAATAATACAAAGAAGATAGCCATTCTCCAAAGTTTTTGCGATCGCTGATTGAGTCTTCACTGAACACGATGTTGCATGCATTCTTTACCTGCAATACATCACGCCAACTGCACGTCCGCCGAATTATTCCTTAACCTGTCCATCACGTGCCGGCCAACCGTTATTTACAGCGAACAGCATTGAGATATGAAGTTGGAATAGTATGAGTGTTTCGTTTCAGTCGAGAGGATAAGCGGGACGGGATGGAGCGCGCATTTTTCCCGGTGGATGGATTGGGGTGACTTATGAGGTGGTATTGATGATAGCTGTATTCTTTTAATTTATATTTGTGTTCTTTCTATATCATATCAAGCGATCATAGCAGAGAATATATCAATTGTTACAATGTCCGCGGGATCATCCAGAATATTGGCTAAAAAGGTGCCTCAGCGTGTTGTTGATGTAGCAGAAGAAGTACAGGATTGGGAAAATCATATTATTCTTAGGTTTCCTGACAATCTCGTTCCAAAAGTCAGTAAGTTTCATTATTTTCTTGTTTGGTAATATATTTTTTTTCTTTTTTAACGAAGAGAAAGGTATTCAATTGCAGGAAAAATGATTGATGAATCTAGCGATAATGATCTTGCTATTGCATTCCAGCCAGATATGCGAAATGCAACCGTACAATTCCAGCAGCAAATCATGTCTGCAAAGTTGTTTGATCTGCCTTGTGTTGTTGAGGTTAGTTACTCAGGTACTCAAGCGTATTTAGCTTACTATGATATACAAGATGAATTATGCTTAAGTTTTAAAAAGGTGACAAAGCTCTGTTTCTATCAAACTATAGCGAAACTGCATTCACTTGTTTAATAATAAATGAAAAGATGTAGAAGTACGCAAATGTCACCATGTACATGTTTTCCGTTAATGATATATGCATGATGTTCTTAAAAACTATTTGGATTTCCTTTTATAGTTTACATATCGTTGTAAATATTGATAAAAAAAGTATGTATTGCAGTTTATTTAAATTAAAATAGTATTTCGAAGTAATTCACTTGTCATAAGACGATAGTTTACATTTAACTGTTATTCCATAAGTGCTGAATATCTAGTTTGATAGTCATTCGTTATTTCCTGGTTGTCGCATTTTGATGTTTTTGACTATTTTAAATTATAGGTGATGAAAACCATCGATAAAAAGAATGTTTATAAAGTTGCGGACGTATCCCAGATTATGATTTGTTCGCATGACTTACAACCTGTCACAGAAACATCGCTTCAAAACGATACATCAAAATTGAAACGTGATAAAATGTGGCAATGGCCTCATGGACGTGAGCTTTTCTCACATTCTTTTTTTCATTTACGAATATTTTGGACAAAAAAATATGTTTAAAAGATTGCAAATTCTCCATTGATATTTGTTTGATTGGTTTCAGTTACTCCTCCAATGAAAAGTGTAAGGAAACGACGTTTCCGGAAAACAAAAAAGAAGAAATATATGGATGCACCTGAGGTTGAACGCGAACTGAAACGTCTCCTAAGGGCAGATATCGAAGCAACTTCTAGTAGATGGGAAGTAGGTGTTTTTGTGCATTTTTGCCTGCTGTCATAGAGAAAATTAGATTTCTGAGTCTATAGACTTCATTGATTTAGATTGTTACTCCTGAAGAAGATACTAAAAAAGTGGACACTCCTTCAGTTCCTGTAGAGGCTCTTGTTCTTGGAGAAATTAGTAACTCAGACGACGAAGCATCGCCAAAGGAGGTTACGCCTGTTGCTGTTCTAGAACATGTTTCTAGAGATAGTTGCTAGCTTTGGGAAATGGAATGATATCGATGTCAATGTAGTTGTACGTAAGTATTAAGTACACTTTATTCATTGCTACACATTTAATGTTCATTGCGGATTACTGTGAGTGCTGAAATTACTAATATATATATATGCTATTTGTCTTTCAGCGCTTTTAGTAATGCTTTAAATACACTGTATTTGTTCAGAAGTTGTTTATATTATTACCTGTTGCACAATAAATAGCGATTCGAACTTTATTTTGATTCCATCTCACGAACTGAAAATTTATATAGCTGTTGTTTATATATTCCAGCTGAAATACTTTTATAAAATAAAATTCTGAAATTGTTTTGTGGTAATAGCTGTGCAAAGAATAGCGTTAATCGTTCGTTCATTACATTAATTTGTTTTTAAATGTCATTTGACGTAAAGTCTATGATGTTTATCTTCGCATTAATGAAATAATAGGTGCTAATGTTTCATTTTTATACTTGGTAACAAATTTTTGTTAATTCGCATAGTTGGTAGGATCTGAAATTGTTTTGGGATTTAGTTTCTCTTTGGTATTTGTTCTTTTTTCTGTATGGGAATTTGTTATAGTTTGCGAAAAATATTTGCTGAGTTTATTCGAATTGTTATTTATCCTTTATTCCCTCCTAATTTGGATCAAAAAAATGAAAGCTGCGAATGGAGATTCTAGTCTTATCCCACTTTTTCATTTATAAAAATATATATGTATTGCTGAAAAATGGCATATTATTTTTTATAAGAAAGTAGGAACAAAAGAACAAAATAACCTGCTCCATTATGTGAAGGCATTGGTAATAGATGAAATTTGAAAAGTGAAAGCAGTGAGGGTATGACTTATTTCATGAAAGGCCAAGTTATAAATGTTGAACTGATTATTTATATTATTTATATACTATCATTTAGTTTTTGATGAAAAAACTGCAAATTATGTTTTATGTAATTTTTTCCGAGATTTTCTCGAGAGCCGAATGTTTTGATTATTTAAGTAATGTCTTTGTAATAAGTTTTTCATTTTCACAACTCTAACTGCATGGTGTCTGATATGTGAATATCATATTTCATCACTAAAATTATTCAGCATAACGATAATTTCATTCATGAAATTTTGATTCAGCGACTTATACAGCTTGAGTTATAAGATATTTAATATCTCGTATATATAGCTCTGGACAAGGAGAGTAGTAGTTAGGATTTGAAAAGGATTGCTTCGTTGAATAATGCGAGGATAAGACTCTTTAAATTTTTAAAATTATTTGACGTGATTATCTGCATAGACACTGCTATCATTCTAACCACCATTAATATACTTTCGTAGTTCATTCCACCTGCTCATCGACGATTTATTATAAATTCAAGTTTCGCAAACTTACTAACTGTTTCCTATTAAAAGGCTTCCCTATGCTTTAACTATTTTTGATTGTAAACTCAATAGATTGGTTCTCATACAGTGCTTTGCAGAAACAGAATGGAATTGAAGTTATGAATTTTGAATTCAAGCAGGAAAATATACATTACTTGATAATGTAGAGTTATTTTAAAATATAACAAAGTGATGGACTAATAAAAAGCAGAGAGATCGATTTATTGTTCACAACTCCATGATCGATCAGTACAAAGAATTTCACATAATAAGTTGTTCATTTATGTGAGGCTTTACTGCATATAACTTTCCTAAAAAAGAATTGAGATATTTAAGATTCATATCCTTATTTTTATTGGTTTTTTAAAGATAATTTTATTATTTGTGCTCCTTGCTTATTATGTTTTAAATGAAAAGAAGATTTCATAGAAATAGCGCGTATTTAATGCATTATTCGACATACTGAAAAAAGCACTCCATTAATCAGAAAAAGTAGTTAATTATACTTTTAAATAATACTGAAACTGAAAAATATTTTTGTTCAAGGGAAAATGAAAAATGAAATGGACGAACAAATAAAGAGTGTTCTGAGGGAAATAAGCAATTGGAATAGACATTTAACTAAGACCCGAATTTTTAAAAAGATAAATTAATTTTGCTTTTTTCTTGTTAGGTTCATCTTGTGGTTATGCTAACATCAGTTTGTGCTTAAGTTTTTTTAGAATCATTTTAAAGAATTCTATTTTTTGGAAGAGAAAGATGAAGAATTTTCTGCATATTATTTATAAGTTTATAGCCTAAAGTTCCACCTCACAATTAAAAACTAATTTTTTTTATCCACTACATATTTAATAGTGACAAGAATTTTGCGATGTATTTTTGGATTATTTACCCTGTTATATTTATAAATTAAGTATTATATTATTTTGTGCTAAATATTGACAAAATCGATTTTACTTGTTATTCAAATTTAAATTTCATTGATTATTGCTAGAAGTTTGTGGATTAGAGAGTTTTAATTGGATCGATGTTGGATCAAACGCGTGGATGATGATGAACTTTTGTGCAAATGAATTCGTTGGTTGCAAAGCACGGGTATTTTTGAATTATTTTTCTCGGAAGGGAGTAGCTGTAATTTAAAATGATATGAAACTGGCAATGACGAATTTTATGACAAACGGTTTGTTTTTAATAGTAAAATGAGGCTAAAAAATTAAATTTGTTTTTTTAACGTCTCTCTTTGCTTTACTTTAATTGGAATATCTTTTAACAAAAATGAGAGAGGAAATGAGATATGATAGATTTAACTATGAAATTCTATCAGGATTGTTATCAGACCTTCTACATTGAATTAATTACTACTTGTGAACAGTTTGCAAGTAGTAATTAGTTTAATGGCTAGAAAAATGGTAAAGGAATATTTTGGTCAACATTAACACTTGTGCATTTGTTTGCTTTATTATTATTCTCATCGTCCTTCACGGATTATCAGTTACCTCCAATGCCCTCTTCCTCTAATTATCTCTTTTTTGCATTTTTCTCTCTAATAGATGATGTTTCTACTGTTATTTCTACTGTTATCGTCATCTCTCTCTCTCCCTCTTCTCCTGTATATGAATGCACATTTTATCTTCTTGTATTACCTTCTATTCCACTGTCTGATAAATTCACCATGACAAACGTTTCTTTCCTCTCACTTTTAATGTGCGGTTTTCAACTTCATATGTATCAAACATATGGCGAAAATTAAATAACTGAAAAGGTTACAGCAAATATATTTTTTCATTGAAGTCTTCAAAAATCTTGCTAATTATTCGCAAAATGAAGGTATTATTTCCTGAACTATTAATAATTGATGTGCTATCACATTGTCACTGAGATATGACGAAGTCTCAGATTGCTTAAAACAATCAGCTTCCGTGCTTGATTTGTTCTGCACTTTTGCACGTTCATAAGAATTGCTGTATTCATTCTTTGATCATAAAATTGCTTAACAAAAGAAAAACGTATTTATGTAAGCATTCTTCAATACAAGCAATGAGATCTTTATAGAAGCTTCAAAAGTGCAATCAATTATGTTGTTTGTTAAACTATGGATAAGTTAAATTTCATTTTTCTCTTCCCTCGCTAGCTTCCTTTAAATTTCATTCAGTTTTTCTTAAGGTGAAAAATCGATATCATTTACTATAGCAAGTGTATTTTGAGATCTTAAAAATACCTTTATAATTTAATCATGGAGAGAGAGAGATACCTATTTTGGAGTTATTTTTGAAAACGTTGAGTGAATTCTTAATTATTAAAGCGCACCTTAAACAATGCAAATAATATTACTTGTATTATTATTGCAGCTGTGTTTACCTTAGTTTATATCTTGCTATCATTAAATTAGATAGCTATTTCTAGTTGAAAGCCTAGTTAAACTATCTGTATCGATCCTTTATCATCAAATCAGCTGTTCTAAACTACGCTCACTCTTCAAAGTAATAACAATATTTGTTGATGAAATGATCTCTCTACAGACATATGTGGTAATTATCACAAAGAATTGATTTCTGTCGCATCATTCCATTTCTAATAATAATCACGGTGTGTCGATAACAACAAAACTGATTTGCTGTTGGCATTTTCTGGATATCTGTCTGTATGTTATGGCAGTTATGTCGGTGGTTTGATATGGAAAGTAAACCGTTTTCTTTTCCTCTCATTTTATGATTATATTATTAACGAATAGCTTTTAACAGAATATTTAATTCCTTCTGACGAATTAATCAATGATGAAATGATCAGAAAGTATTGATTAAATTACTAATGCTTCTTGTAGATGATATCGGATTCTTAGAAAATAAAATACTACTTGATTAATCAAATTTAGGAATGAGAAGATTGCTTAAATTACGATGTTTTAATTTGAAGTTAGGCAATAAAATAGTTTTTTGATAATTAAAACAAATGGGTTTTGAGAAGTTTTTTGACACTGTAAGAGGGATGTGACTGAAGAAAGGTAAAAAATTTCTCTAGTCAGGTAAAATTATTTCTTGCGTTTCATTTCTTCCTTGTTAGATCATTCATTGCTTGAACGAAGCAACATGAAACAAAAAAAAAAAATAAAATATTTCTTTTAGAAAAAAAGTAAAAAATCAACATTAATCAAAAAATTAAAATATAAAATAAAATTTGCCAAATACTGCTATCCATTGTATACTTTATTTTCATCAAAAACATTCATTTTAAAGTTTTAAATCTGTTCCATATTTTCTAAAATGAATTGATGGACGGATGGATATGTAAACAGGTTGTTTTCATAGTTCTCACTTATTTCGAACTATTTCTCATCTACTGCTTTTAAAAATTTAATCCATTTTCCTGCATTTTCCAGTTTTGCAGCCTCTTTGTCTTTCTTTCATATCGTTTCCATTTTTTTCATTATGTTACGGAAAGAGAAATTTATCCTTTAACAAGTTTCCATTTCTACATTTTCATTGTTTTCTAGTTATTTTGATTTTTCTTTAAATTCTCATGAAGTTCAATTTTCAAATATTCTTTCTTTCAAAAGTACAAGACAAAGGGTCTATTTGATTTGAAGAAATATCATTGCACGTTTGGAAAAGGATTGAGAAGGTAAGGTCAATTTTTCGCATGTTTTATATTTGAGAGGAGAAAGAAGGACAGAAGTTCGAAGATAGAGGAAAGTTTTACACTCTTTTCTTCATTATATCGGATCGACTGCTGAGGCAATTACGGGTAGTCATTATCAGAGAAGCGATGGCCGATGAGTTTCTTTTAACGGAATTCAAATAGAGATTTTGCTAATCTGTCATCTTAAATAGTGATAGAGATTATTTTCTTGTATTCCTTCGACTAAAATAATGCTTAATAATAAGTTCTGATCTTAATTAATAAGTTCAACTTTCTCAGAATTCTTATTTCTGTTTATGAAATATTCTCTCATAATGTGCGCAAGAAATAGAACTGTACATCTTGACATATATTCAATTATTGATGAGTATAACTTGTTTGCAATAAAGAGAGAGGCATTAAGAAAAAGAGGAAGGAATAGAAATGAGAATAATTATTAACAGATTTTTTAAAAATTCACCCCGGTTTAATTGTATCATTCTATACGTTTTATGATTGTTGTAATTTGCAACTGTTATTCATTATTGCTCGACAATTTATAGAAATTGTTTATTCATGTGGCATACAGCTGATTATATGATAAACCGCTCAGTTTTAATGCATTTTTACAAATGGGTTGGATAAAATATTCTAGAATGATTCTTCATTCATCGTTTATAGCGTGAATAAGGCTTTTTATAGTTGTGTTTGTAGGTGTCAGTGGCGAACTATTTTAATTCAATTAATATTTGATTTTGCACAATGTATCAACTAGTATACGGTTGTTATGTCTTTTTTTTTTTGATCTAAGACTTGAAGTAGTCTATCAAATTAATTTTTTTTTATTTCTTTCATAGCAAAATATATTAACTGATGAAAAATATGGTCTTTATTACCGATCGAGAATTGAAGTTAACAAATAATAAAAATGACTGAAATAAATGTGGATTTATTTAGTCGTTTGCATAGATAGTATAATAAGTATTCCTATTTCAGACTTTTCATGGAGACATAATTCGCGGCAGAAATTATCGGTGATGTTGATGAGAGGACGGGCTCGGACAATACTTTTGATTATTATACTTATGAGTTGTGTCTTATACATACTTATTTCGGCTTCTACATTATTTTCTGCTTTCGAGGTGTTTAGAAATAACATTGTCATATTACCTGGACGAAAATTGGGTAATTTATCGAAATACTCACCGCTCATTTTCATTGGTTAGTCTTCTTACTGAATATGTGCCAGAAATCACTATTTTAGTGTACTCATCATTGTTGAATAGGCGGTGGAAATTGTTTCGCATGCGTTTTTTTGACTTTATTAGTATTTTTGACTTGTTGCATATCATCCTTCTACATTCTTGAATTAGAAACATTGCTCTGCTTTACTTCATTATTGTACTAGTAATACTGTTTGTTGGCTGTGGAATTTAGCGATCGGAATCTTATATAATGTTTTTTTATTTTAATCTCATGTTTTTAAATTTTTCACATAACATATTGCTTCAAAGGTAAATGCGTGAAGAACACCGCAGTAGCTCTTGTTATCAATGCAGCAGAATTGCATTGTTAGCTGCCATTCTTAGTTTTAGTTGCCAAATTTTAGAAAACAAATCTTCTCCCTGTTCAATTTGATAATATTTTAGGAGGTGTTCCACGATCAGGGACAACATTAATTCGTGCCATGTTGGATGCACATCCTTCTGTGCGATGGTTGGTCATTGCATGTACTTCCTTGATCATGAACATCACAATTGACTGTATCTTACTTTATTACTAATTACATTATCCTAAATTACAGTGGTGAAGAAACACGTGTAATACCACGCATTTTGGGACTTAGATCACAGTGGAAAAAGAGCCAAAAAGAATGGAACCGTTTGAAAGAAGCGGGTGTCACTGATCAAGTAATTAATGATGCTATATCATCATTTATATTACAAGTAAGTCGCTGACTGTTTAGTTTTTAAATATTTATTGCTATTTCAGCTGAGAATAAATTTGTAATTTCTCAGGTAATAGCAGGTCATGGTGAACCTGCTGAAAGGTTGTGCAATAAGGATCCTTTTACGATGAAGTCAGCAGAATATCTTGCTCATCTGTTTCCAAACAGCAAATTTTTATTGATGATTAGGGATGGCCGGGCAACAGTTCATTCAATCATATCGCGTCAGGTAACGATCACGGGTTTTGATCTCAACGATCCGAGACAGTGTTTGGATAAATGGAACAGTGCTATCAAAATAATGTACGAGGTACTGCTTTCACGCAATTTTTTTATGAGTTTGTTGATGAAATAATCTAGGAATAGAAGTACATTATTTCTGAGCTTCTACATAATCTTTCTTTTATGATTCATGAGGTGCATTGAACATGTCGCATATTATGAACAACTTATTTTCTTCACAGATTCTTATTCTTAGTTTATTGTTTAAATTTTTTATCAATATTTTCTAACCAATTTGAAAGTTTTGTTCAAAATTAAATTTTGCTATACAGTTTTGATTAGATTAACGATTAACTCTTCAATATTTCTGGTGTACGATTATGCACTTCCAAATTTGAACATGAAAACTTAGATTTTTCATACTTGTTATAAATTCACTTTGTAGCAGTGCAAAGCAGTAGGTCAAAGACGATGTTTGACTGTTTATTATGAACAGCTGGTATTACATCCAGAACAGCAGTTGCGTCATATTCTTGAATTCCTCGATATTTCATGGAATGACTTAGTGCTTCATCACGACAAACTAATCGGCAAAGATATTTCACTATCAAAGTACATTTGAACGTGTTTTTTCTTTACTTGTATTTTCTACATTCTAAAAAAGAACAGTAATCAGTTGAATGGATGCGTTTAATTTCTCTCTGATTAACTATCGACGTTTGGAATTGTCTAGGCATTTATCATTAGTGATTTTTTTATGAATAATTGTAAAAATACGATTAACTTTAAATTAATCTAATTATTTCATTCAAGAAATGAAATAGAGACTTAAGAATAAGAATAAGAAGCTTAAACAATGAATATTTACATAAAAACATTTGTTACAATTTGATGTTATATGAACAAGGTCTGGTCACAGTTTTTGATGTATTAAAAAGTGAGGCTTTTTTTAGAGTTGAACGATCCACTGATCAGGTAATCAAGCCAGTAAACTTAGATGCATTAACGAAATGGGTTGGTACGTTTAGTGAAGATATTGTACAAGAAATGGCATCTATAGCACCAATGTTGGTGGTACTTGGGTTTGTGATATTATAAATTTTTTTTTTGAAAAATGACAGATTTTAATGTTATCAGTAACTTATATCGGTTTATGGTGTAATTGGAATAAGCGGCTCTCTTTCTGTTTTTGATAAGTTTCTTCTTTAATTTTTCTTCTGTACTGACGTATTTAAGCACTTAAATGTACTTATGAATTACTGGAAAATTTGTATTCAATAGTGAGTAAAGATAAGACAATTAGAGAAGCCAAAAGAGAATGAGTGACGTCTTTTCAGATACGATCCAAATGCTAATCCGCCCAAATACGGTGAGCCCGATCCAATTGTACTGAAGAATACTGATGAGTTACGCATGAACAAGGGAGAATGGGAACGTAGAGCAAAAGAGGTAGTTGATCTAGCAGTAGGTGCTGCGCCGCGTCCTCCACTTGCTGGGTGAGGAATTCATATATTTATGAAAATGCACGGCGCATTTATTTTATCTACAACTATATATTACATTATTTATATACAATTATCTAAATTTTTCTAATTCTTTTTGCTCACTTTTACTGTCGGTCATAAAAGTGTTTGCTTTTACGTAATTCCTTGTAAAATTTTTATCGGCTTTCCATATCTTCACTTTTTATTGCTCTTTTTCTCCTAATTGGTCAATCAAGCATTCTTTCATATTTTAACGCATTTTGTTTGGGTGAAATTTTCATTGTTGTTTCTTTTTAGAATGAACTATCTGTAAATAATTCATGTATGATTAAGTTATTTTCATGTATGATTAAGTTAACTAAATGTTACTGATATTGGACGCTTTCGAACTCAAAGTTATGTTCAGACGCATAATTGCAGAAAATTAAGAATATTGCCGAGAAAACATGAGTGTTTGATGAGTTACTTACTTTATGGATCATATTCTTTCTATTGATAGTAATTAAATGCTTCTTAGGTAACATTCCATATCATGTATTCGGTCTATTTTGTTTGTGAGCAGATTCGCTTCCTCTTCATTTAATGCACAGAAATAGTTTAACTCCAAAGTGAGGATTAGTTTTATGACCTGATGAGATGCTCGTCTATAGCATTTCTTGGTGTTGTGATGTTGAATAACAACATCGATGCAGATGTACTTTTGTTAGTTCGATCAATTCGACACTGCTCAATTATTGCATGCTCTGATTTATTCGTGTTCTATACGTCCTCACTGTTTTATTATGAATGCTGGTCCACCTGTCTTCAATTTTGTCTAAATTACTGTATCATTGAGCTCAGACATACCTAATTAAGTGTAAAAGTACCTTTAAAATCTTCTCACTTTCCAGTTTTGTTTGAATTTAAACTTTTTTAATCGATTAGAGAGTTGTAAAAGATTTCATTAACCCTTGTTTGTGTATAAAGCTTGGCACTTCATTTCATGCTATCATCCTTTGTACGGGTCGTAAAACACTTTGTTTTTTACTTATTCCTATTAGCTCCACATAATCACGAAAACAGTGTACTCTACATAGTAATCATTACCTTCAGAATATATCAGTTCAGTTCGAATAAGTGCTAAATCTAAATTATCTCTTAAAACATCACTGCATAATGTTTTTTTGGCAATTCGATGCCAGTAGCTCGTCGTGATATAATCTCTGGTATGTTTAGTTTTATTCTGTTTGCATCATAAATTAATCTAAATTGTAGTAAAACTTAGAAATTGTCTTCTGCTATGCTGATTAAATCCATCCAACTATGTCGTTTAACACTTCGATTACTCAGCTATGGCAGGTGTTATCATAGCTGACTGGAGGATCGAAGCACATACATTGTTCTAAAATCATGAAGCTAGCTACATAGCGATAGATGGAAATCATGGTTCCAAGCTGTGACATAAGTGACGATTGGATGAATTAGTAGCTGACAAATGGCATTGTTAGTTTCATTCCCGAAAGCGAAGCATGACTTTTTTGGTGTGTAGTTAGGTTATTATTCTTTTGACGATCTTTAAGTATAGCAGTATACCTCTAAAAAGGAAGAAAATTACTTCCAAAACGACTAATTTTATTCATACAGGACATTATAATAGAACAGTTAACTTTCGGCGCGTGGCCTAACTTCAACAATAAATAAAACTATACATCGTATACATGTCGAAAGTCATATCAGATAATAAATATATCCTGAATTCCTAAATATGTTTCAGTGTGCTTGTCTTACTCCTTTGCATCACAAACACCAATTGTGGCAATGGCGAAAGTAGCTTCATTTTCGGGTAAGTTTGGTGAGTCGTAAATTTTTGCAATTCTTGTTTCTCCTCGTCCCTAAGATGTAAGTGAAGTTTGTTATTAAAAAACATCGTCACAAATTATTGCTACTGACGAGACGTTTAGATGCCCGATGAGGAAATGTTGTTTGTAAGTCAATTCTGCCTCAGATTTTATTTTAGAAGGCACAGCTAAAGGAAGTTCCAAATAATGACAAGAAGGGAGTCCAAATAACATGTTAAGATGAAGTAAAGTAAGTTATACTTACAGGAGATATATTTTGATGAGGTGAGTAAAAAACTCTGGAAAGTCGAAGAAAATTTCGAAGAAAAAAATTCCGGATCTACTTACTACTTATACCATGAGAAATCAGGAAGACCGTGAAAATTAGTACCTTCTTAAGCATAATGCGAGTAGTAGATGCATGAGCTAGGATGTGCCCACCAACTGGTTTTTTTGGATCTGCCTGAAATGTCATTCCAGCGCCAGGGTCTGCAGTCATCTGATTTGTAATAAAAACCGCGACATTGTACTCTTCTGCTATTTTCTGAAAAATATGAACTCTTAGAACACGCATCAAATCACAAAGGTTCAATTGCAAAGCAAAATACTATACAGAATAAAATAGGGGAACTTCTTTGACCTGTAAACGTGACAACATTTGAGCAAGTTTTTGTTGCCGTTCTGCAAGTTCACCTCGACCACTGTAATCAACTCGGAATAGAGCCATGATTGAATCAACAACCAGTAGTTTAAAAATACCCAGTTCCTGAAGTATTGAAAAAGCGAAATGACGGCAATTACTGTTCGAAAGAAATATGAACTAGCAAAATTTCATAACGTTCGTTTGAACAGCTTTTTTTCAGCTTTTCATGATAAGTGGAGCACACAACAACTAAGATAATACCAAAGTTATCAAATGGAAGACTACGAAGACTTAGAAGTCGCACCTCGTGAAATTTTGCAGCGACAAAGTCCAGCAATTCCATCTGATGATCAGAAGTGTATGCTCGTGCGTACAAAATATTGTCTAACATTGCCTCTTCATCCATTTTGAAACGTTCGTTAATTTGACGCAATCGATCCGGACTTAAAAATTTCGGCCAGTTATTATGTAGATTTAAGAATTTTTAAGGACGCACATGTTATGCAATTTCTAAATGCATTGTCACTAACCGGAATGTATTTTCTGTATCGATGTAGATAACTTTTCCACCTTTGAAGTTACTTGCTTCACTTGGCATCTGGCTCATCACTAGAAACATTAATTTTACCTCCAGTTTTTTTAGAAACTAAAAACACAGTAATCTCTTTTCTGAAAAAGACTTCTAATACTGTTGGTACTGATATTTTTTAGAAAGTGCTGCTTAATGACCTTTAAATTTGCCAGAAAATATTGAAAATGCTAACGTCAATTAGCTGCAGCTGATATTGGCATTTTAGATTTTAGATTTTTCCAAACATTTAGAAATTTTCAAACAATTTCACTTTCATATTTCGATAGAATAAAGATTTATTCGCCGAAAACTTCGATTATGATGTTGGGGAGATCTGAAGTCTTGCGAAAGAAATACATTATTGCTATCAATAAAATGGAATACCACATAAAGTATGCGAGAGCTGTGTTTTGCCAGTACGAAATTCGCCGAAAACTTCGGTTATAGCTTGACTTTCAATACCACCACCCAGAAGTTTGTCTAACTCTCGGCTTCCTGTACTGATGCGATAACAGAGCTTCCGTCGTTCTGTCATTTCCAAAGCTGTTATAAAGCCATTGTTCTAAAATTCACTACCAGTAGTATTTTCTATTACTGATAAAGCAAATATACATGCATTTAAAACTGGTTACTGATAATTTGCATGCCACTTCCTTGATTTTGTCGACTTTCGCTTCAGAAAGACCTTTCACATCACATAGCCGTTTCCTTGTAGTCATCATGATGCCTTTGATCGTACAAATCCCAACCCCTAACAGCTTCTTGATGTCAGCAACATTCTCCAAAGAAAGCAAGTATTTGGATTATATTAAATCAAAAACTCGATCGAAATTAAATTGAATTTAGTAATTAAATGCATATCTGCGATGTTAATTATTGTTTTAAAAAATATGATTTGAAGTGTTATTTTTATTTGATATTTCAAGAAAACTGAAGCGATAAAGGATAATGAGTAGAAGAGTGTTAACAAACAGGAGAAATAAAAAGTAATAATTTCCTATATAAAACATACGATTCCGTGACTTTGCAACAATTCGATGTCTTGATAGAAGTTCAGCTGAAACATATTTTAATGAATTTTTACTAAACAGATTACGCTCTATACTCAGAAAAACTACACTTAGATCTGTTACGCTGATGTAAGTATTTTGGAGTAGAAGAAACCTCATAGTCATTCAATTCAGCTTGATTATCCTGACGCGGAACAACCTGCTCCATTTGCATCTTGCTTGATTTGAATCAACAGCTGAAACACAGCTCAATAAGGAACTTTGATAGCAGAACATTTAGGAACATAACTGATACTATTAGTTTCACTAAGCTTTCATTCATAATATACAACGGATACTGATTTATCGTGCAATGTTTGAATGCCGATCTCATTTTCACATAATAACTGCAATTCCAAATGTTGGACATTTGATCTGAACTTTATCAAGTTGCAGGAATTAGCGTATTATAATAAGCAAACAGTCAACATGCTAATTTCCCCTCACAAAATCTACCAGAGAAAAAGGTAGGGATGGTATTCTAAACACCATAAAACCCTCGCACTCCCCGCGAATCCTCCATGAAGCACAAGTCGGTCTTAATCACACGCATATCATTTAATCCTTCAATCTATACATTCTGCGAGACATTTCAAATCTTCTAGAATATTCTATTAGCAAATTCCAAATTTGCACGTAAACGCTACCATACATCCAGAAATTTATTGGAAAATACTGCTAATGGTGACATTCTCGCTCCTATACAATCATGATCATGTCTCGCTCCCAAAAATCATGGTCATATATCACTTCCACATAATCATGATCATCATATCTCACCCCCATACAATCATGATCATCATATCTCACTCCCATATAATCATGATCATCATATCTCACTCTCATATAATCATGATCATCATATCTCACTC